CATTAAACAGAATTACAATTTAGGATTTAGCTTCCTCGTTTCCTCTTCTAATAGCCAAAAAAAACTTGAAAAATTTTTTCAGCAGAAATAAATAGCGTCAAAGTGCCAAATTTAAACTCTGATACCTTCGAAATAAATTTTTATAGAATTTTTTAAATATTTTTTCTATGTTCCTGGTATCATAGGCATTTTTCTCTGTGGTGTGAGTTCTGGCAAAATGTAAAAAAATTTTTCTGACAAAAGTAAAACAGACCCCACACATTCACATTTTAATTTTATTTTAGACAAATTAAGTATCTCAACAAAACATTAAAAAAAAGATTTGCAAAATGCTTAAAAAGCAAATACGGAGATAACAAATTACTACTATTTATTCATTAGTTTTACAAGTATTAAAATAAAAAAAATAAATACAAAACTAAAATAAGCTTTTTAGAAATTAAAACTATAAAAATAAATATTTTAAAATTCTTCGAGTAACGAAACATGCATATTGGTTGTGACATTCGGTTTTGGAACTTTGATACAGTTTCCAGAGAAACGTTATCGTCGAAATGATTTCAGATCGGTTATAAAAATCAAAAATTAAATAAGGCCGAGTATTGTGCTCACATTGCATTGAAATTCTTCTAGAGTTTGACATACTCGAATGAAATAGTATAAGGTATTCGAATAGTAAATGTTCGGCGAAACTTCAAAATCAAATTCGTAGACATGGTCTGTTATTTCTGATTTACGTGAGGACTATATTATAGGTAGCTTATTTCCGGTTGAGAGAAACGCGATCGTGTAGCATTTTCTATCGATCTCCTTGCGCGATTAGGAAATAAGACCAGTCTTTTTGCCAAACGAGCCGAAATTGAAAAACCTCAAGAGTGTGCCAATTTAAATTTCCAATTAGGACCATTCTTTCCGGCTTCTGTGCCGATCTATTCTCGAAATAATTAGAAACCCGCCTATTTTTCTGCTAATGAAATAAAATTAGCGGCGCTCGAGAGCGTTTTTGGCGTCTAAGGCGCTATTCAGAATCAGCGTTTGGCTCCTTGGGGAGATAGAGCAGCAATTGCAAACTGGAAATAACTAGAATATCCTGAATAAAATATAGAGTTCCGCTCAGTCGGTAAGTGAGATAATAATCCGATGGCTCAGTCGACCCACTTCCGCCGGAAGTCGTCGGCTATCGCCTGATCAATACACGCTCCAAAATTATTCCACTCAATCACTTCGAATATTTCAGAGTCATTTAGATTGCAAAAAAGTTTGAAACGCGGATGAGTTCCGAAAACAAACAGGGCTGTCTAGACGGCCACTTCCGCCAGATTATAAAACATCGAGATCTATTTTCTTGCGGTTTCCACCAAAAATAATTTTATCTGATTGGAGCTGTTCGACCAAACACTCCAACAGAGCATGCGGCACAAAAATATTTACAATCATAATTTTCGCTCTATTAACTTTCTCCACAAGCAAAAGTTATTTCACAAATGTTTCAGTTAGTATAAGATTAAATCCGAAATATTTTTACAACATCAAATAAAACAAATAAATAAATAAGCTCATGATGGTTAGTTAAATATATCTTTACCCTTTTACCTTTTCACAAGCAAAGACGTTATTTATGGATCTACCCGGTTTCGTTTATTCATTTAAGTAACATCAGAGACTGTCTTTTTGACTTTACAAGATTTGTCACTTATAATTACACGAGAGCTTTTTTTGTCGAAGTAATCTTGCCGATTTAATGAGAATTTTGTTTTCTGGCAATTTAACGAAAAAAACTGCTTCTGAAAAAATTACGATTTCGTGGGACGAGTAATTTTTTCTGGCAGTTTTTTGAGTTAAATTGTCTAAAGGATAGTTAGGGCAAACTTTTGTCGCTATCATAGTGACAAAAACACCGCGGCTTATGGGATTTTTAGTGAATGAAAAAAATTGACAAAAAATTAAATACAAAATTACATTGATTAAAAATTAAAACTCTTTTTTTTATAAAACTGCGTTGTCAAACAATATTCAAAATATTGTTATAAATAATAAATAAGCGAAACCGGTAAGACCCATAAATAACGTCTTTACTAGTGAAAAGGTCCCCCCGTCTTTATGAGAAATAACTAAGCATTTTGTCTGTTAACTTATTTTAATGGTAGTGGTAGAATAACGAGACTGTTTTCGCCAGATTAACTTTTATTAAGAATACAAGACGAATTCTAATGTTTTATCGTAATCTACAACTTGAGAGGTAATATTAAAATAGAGTTTAAAACAACTTGCAAGGTTTTACAGTAAAACGGGAGCTAAACAAATAAAATTCGATTCTGTTTTAAAACATAACGTTAAAAACTTTATTGCTTGTTTTATTTGAAAAAAGCTTTTCGAGTAATTAGGTTATATGAAACTTATCTTATCTTATTGTTTTACGAAGACAGTGTTTAGATTCAAAAAAAAGTTGAATTTATACAAATTTTTACGATTTGTAACAAACTGCAAAAACAATCAAAAATAATAAAAGTGATTTATTCGACAATCGGACTCTTTATTTCACGAGTGTATTTTTAAATCATGAGTGTTAACGAGTGGTTTACTAACCAAGAGGTGGAATAAATGAACCGACTTACACGAAGACGAGTTGAATACAACATTCCTCGAATTAGACTCAACAAGGCTTGAAATTGCTTTAAATCTGTTAAAAATAATCTGACGTTTCGTATTGAGAAATGCCAAATAACTGTCAAAACTTCCTGGGAGAAAAACCGAAAATTTTGACAGTGTCAAAAAATAAATGTCAAAAATTTTAACTGTCAAATACAAAAATAAATTCAATTTAAAAAGCGCTTTATAGAAAACATGGATTAAAAAACGCGTGTTACCACCTCTCATTGTAACACTCGCCACTCGTATCAGAATGAGAGTGTTTGTAACACTTGTTTTTTAATATACTGTTACCGCAGCTCGTGCCGTTACTGTAAATTCAAAAATGCGTTTCCGTGTTTTAATCAAATTTTTAGACTGCAGATTAAATTGCTTGAGTTGAAATAAAACATTTTCCAAGGGTAAAAGAATACGTTAAAAAAAGTTGTAGGAAATATAAAATAAACACAGTTTCAATCAGAAACTTTGTGGCAGCAAATTAAAAGTTACTTCATAATTCCCTCAAAAGCGTTTTAATATTACTCTTGTGGAATAGCTCAACTAATTTAAAAAAATCAGACAATAGGCTTAACTTTTATTTATTTATTTTATACCGCCCGGTAAATTAAGCTTCCGAGCCCCATTTTGAATTGGAACTTAAGCTATTACGCTACTAGAGCCGGTAAGTGTAACCAAGCAACACTTTCCGAATTGTGATTTTTTACACAATAAAACGACAAGTCTTTCTTGGGAAGACTTCTTGAAACAGTGTAAAATAAAATACATTAACAATTATGATATACATGCGGTAAGCCTCTTACAGTACTCATTTCGATATTCAAGACTTGGCTGAACATTTTAATGATAATTTAAATTTAATTGATATAATTAATATACGAGTAGCCTTTTTTATTTAGGCTAAAGTCTGATACTTTGGAACAGCTGACACATTAATCATCGCCTTTTTGTAGTAAAAAGTTGAAAAATAGAGAAATTTGTGCGCAACCCCAGAACTAATTTAAATGAAAAGTTAAAACTTTTCACGTCGTTTGAAAAAAATTGAAGGCTTCTAATGAGAATTCCTCCAGATAACGATCGTGTAAACTTATGAATTTCTATCCGAGTGATTCTTTTGTACCAAATAATTAAATGCTCCGCCACTTAAATGCGAGAGTAATGTGAACAGTTGGGAATTAATCTTTTTTAAGAGATCTTGATCTTAAAACATTTTCGGCTTTTTCCAAACATGGCTAATTTATACTCAACATATTGTACAACTCGTGCCTCGAGGGCGTGGGTTAATTAGTCTGCACTCCGCAAAAAAGAACAGCGCTTTACTATTCGACTGCAGAATACTCCGACTTTGAAAGAATGCCTAAATGAAGCTGTCTATAGCAGAATTTGGTTCGAGGATTTTCGATGAAGGAGAAGCAAGTGGAAGTGACAAATACTAATCTGAAGACATGGACCATCAACTATAAGCACGGAGTTAATGAGTTCAAGTAGAAGATTCATAAAGTTGACATCTGCTTCATCAAGTTCCAATGTGCATTTCTTTGCCAAATTGAGTCAGAGGCATTTCCATAACTGACAAAAATTTAACCCCTAATGATAAATAATTGAAATTTCTGCATTCGTGATTATGTCCGATTTTGTAAAGCACAATAGGCAGTTATTATGACAAAGTACAACAAATGCAAATTTGCTAAACTGTCGGTGACACACACGCCAGGATTCTTTGTGCTGGTGAAACGCGAAATCTAATGGGACGACAGTCGATCAGTTATTTTTGTTTCCGATATGTTATATGTTAATCCAGCGAATTGTTCGAAATAAATTATTACTCACTATTTTTTAATTTTTGTTCGATAGAGATTGACGCAGCTGAGAACAGACAGTCCCAAATGAGATTTTTCCACATAAAATGTAAAATGTTGCAAAAAGTGAAACTTCATTAAATTGTATTAAACCCAGAGCAGTTTTGTGGTTCTTTATTGTCACTGAAACTGGCTTTTAACACTATTTTGCCTCAGGATAGTATTTTGTTCCAGTTTTGCATGCAAGATATTCCCTACTAACTTATATACCAACATAAACTTTACAAGACCAAGAAAATTTTATTCCGAATTAAAATGTTATCGTAGTAGCAAGCATTTTCCTACAACAATTCTAGCTTTTTCCTCTAAAAACAACAGTGACAAGTTATTATTTTTAACGACAATGTCAATATGTAATAAGCGGGTGCTCTGTTTGAACAGAGCTTCAACTGCAATGCTTTTTAGTTACTCCAAACAAAGTGGAACCCATCAAATTTAACATGTTTACACCAATTTCATAACCAACGTTAACTCATCCAAATATGTTTTGCTTACCGGGATTGGAGACCTCGCATGGCAGGATAACCGTGTCCTTTTCTGTGACCTTAAACATTTGGCTCGACGTGAGAAATGTGGGTAGCGTCGCAGGATCGACCTTGATGCTTGCCTGGCAGGATTCTACAAAGAGGAGAACAATTAGTGACACATGTCCTAGCACTAGAATTAGCCGCTTTTATCATCACACCCGAAACAATAGAGAAACTATAATCTGGCACCACTACAAGAATTCCGTATTTGATTTGCGCTTAATTGGAGAACAGACACTCGACGCGTTCAATAACAACCATGGAATAACATTTTTGAAAAAATTCATATTTTTCCAGAGTCGAGGACGCTTCATGTGTTTTGTTAAGAGCTCAAAACAGTGTTACGGGCGATTTTCGCGTATTTGTTTTCACGAATGTGCTTCGGGAGCGTTTAATAAAGGACTTTTTCGATTGACATTGTGTTCTCGAATAGACTAAATGGAGCTTTGCAAAACAAAAATACAGAATACTTGCTAAATTGCAGATTATACTTTTATTGGTTGATGGATGTAGTACAACAGGATTATAAATTTTTAATTTTTAAAACGAAACTTGTTTGTAATAATGTGTTTCTTGCAAAAGTGTCAACATTCCATTTTTAACTTATAATTCTCAAAATTGCAACAAATCAGTTGATTACTAAATTAATTTTAACAAAACGCGGATTGAATTCGTAATGTTGAGGCTTTGAAATTAAAGCACATGATCGAAATAATAAATAATTATTTGAGTTTTCATATTTTCCGCAACTACTGTGCACAGTGTTATTGTGAATTAACATTCTCTGAGCCCTGTATTGATTCTTTTTAACAATTATTACTTTGAATGGAAAGCCGTCGAAGTGTTAATGGAGTTTGAGTTCCGAACAAACAATAAATCAGTAATTACATTTTCAGTTTTTAATTCGTTGTTTCTGCAAAATCTTAAAAACTGTTTGTTGAATGTTTGATACCAGTCGAGGTTTAAAATCAAATGGGTCATTACTTTTGAACGCCTAGGCTCATAAAATTTGTTACATTTTTAAACATCACAACTGACTTCAATAATGCTTAACTTGTGGTAAATTATATGATATAAATTGCTTGGTGAGGCTTGTAAACTCTTTATTATCAATAAGAAAAAGCAATCTTTTACCTTTTAGCACGGCTTGAACGGCACAATTTTCAGATTAATACTTGCTTTTAAACGCAAACTGCTTCATAAGTAAGGTTTATATCTATTTTAACGTTTCGGTGAGTTTAACAGCCGAATTAAATTTCCTGTAAAAGCTGCTCTCTAAAAACTGAAGGACTGCCAGCTTGCTTTCTAATTTGCAAAATTTTTAATATTGTGAAGGGTGTTTTTAGCAAAAATTTAATTCAGCATTCTCTCAGTTATTGAAAAAATACGTTCATCCAATTTGACCTAAATTAAATTTATGAGAGTCCAAAATTAAACAAAACTTTTTTAATTGAACTCCAATTGAAATGCAATTTCTTCAAAAAATTTAGTAGCAATTTCTGTAAAATATTTTTTTAATTTATTTGCAGCACTGCATCTATTTGTGCAAACTATCTAAATTTATGCTAGATGTTGTTGCATCGAAAATCCAATAATCCCCAATTTCTGATTAATAATTATTATTGTTATCTATTAATGGCAATAAATTATTTCCGTTCTGGTCATGCATCACGAATCGCTGATGTAACTAATATTTCAGTGCGTTAATCTTTAATTATTAGTAAAGTTTATATGTTACTCGTGTACCAAATTGCTGTAATTAGTGTAACGTCTTCTGCCCGCTTAAATATCGCTTCACATAGTTGCACTATCGATCCGTAGCACCGCAACACCCTTGCTTTTATAATCTTGAGCCAAAATGAAGAGGTCGATCCTTGCAATGTAACAATTTGAGAGCGATGTGAAATGGGCTGCCTAATTGGCACTGCTGACCTAATTAAATGTTCCGTGAGCTTACGAAATGATGGCAGATCTTGCACTATTTGGGATTTAGCTCTGAACGTTCAGATAACTCGTTTAGTGTTGTGTGGGTGGTGAAAAAGAAACGGTTGTGTTTTTACACAAGAGGGATGTATCGCTTAACCCAATTCTTAACGAGTAAGTGAAAAAATAATGGACGATGATAAAAACAGCACCGAGGCTTGATTGCGTCTCTGGACTAGTTTACCTAATCGATAGATTGGCTGTTAAAATAGTTTGCTCAAAAAATGTCTCCTCAAAGGGTTATAAATTTATTCGCCAAAATTAATAGCATAGCGCTCAAATAGGTCGTAATTTTAACAAAAACATTAATGCAGTAATTTAGCGGAAGCCATTAAGCCCCATTACTAAGCTTCAGGAATTTATTAAACAGTTAGTTAACCAGAAATTTTCCTCTTGAATACAACAAAACGGTATTGTTAACCTGCTTCCCTAATAAAAAAAATCGCTTGGTTGGGTTGTTCAAACAGATTCTCGGCAAATATCATCCGTATTTGCCAAAATTTCTCCTAGCCGATCTAGAGCAACCATTTGATATTATTATTTCCGATTTAATCGTTGGTCCTAGTAGATTAGCTGTGCTTAAGTAAATACTGTCGTCGAGGACAATTATTTGCGACAATACATGCGAAGCTCCCCGGACAAGGAAGCTGGAACGGAAATACGAGTTCTTGCGTCAAGTGGAGCTTGTAGCCGCACGAGTGCCCTTGTGTTGTCAACTAGGACCAACAAGGACTCGCTTCGACCAACTCCTTGTCGACATAAACTTACACGAGGCTAAGTTCAATCAACAACCCAAGATATGCAATTCAATGCACCAGTTATCGGCGGTTCCACCGAATTCGTCTCCTGGAACACAATAGGATTAAAGGAAATTAATCCTGTCATAATCCCATTGAGCTAGACAAACAAACTTAATTCAAAACTTATTTAGATACAAAGTTGTTTAATTCAGAGTGATCCCAAGTAAAGAGTGTGGTTCCACCTCCACTTGGCCAAGAGCACGTAAGACATTTAATACTTAAGACACTAATACATCTTCAGCAATAAAGCACTTAACGTAGATTTAGTCGCCTAAGCCTACAGGAAATAAATGTCCACTAAGCAGATCAACAGTTTTATTCTTGAAAAATTAAATTGACAAATTTTCAATAATTTCATTTCTTTCTCTGCAATGAAGAGAAATTGCAAAGTGATTATTATTGCACCCGTTGCAAAGAAAATATCTGTGGCATTATAATTAGATCTTAGAACATCCGCGATTTCTCTCGGAGCGGCTCAAAGCAAGGAAAAACAATTTTCTCAATTGACCTGGTTGGGGGTAAACAAGATCAATGTCTTTAAATTAAATCTTTTAATGTATCCCACAACAATGAGTTTGCATACAGATTTTCGTGGAACTGTTTGAACAGTAAGTGAATTGCCTTTCCCTCGGGAAATTCGTGGCAACTTTCATTAAATAAAGGAAACGGCGATAAAGTCACAATTAATTTCGTTTAAATTGAGACTACAATCACACACATCATCGTTACATATTTGTAATAAATTATAAATATGATGATGGTCCCAAACTTGTTTAGTGATGATTAAATTGAATGAATTATGCAAATTTACGTAAACTAAATTGATTAACTGGCAATTAAAATATTTGCACTTAATTCACGTTTAAAACAGCGATTGAAGATAATTAAAATTTACAAAGAATTGCAAATGATTGAGTCACAGAGAGATTTGTCTGCGTTTTTGTTGTCGCATGTCGTGCTGCATATCTGAATTTAAATTTTGAATTTTTATATCAAAATGACAATTTAGGAGTAATAAAGAGATGATTTATGTATGTGAAAAAGTGGTGACAGCTTCAAATGGAATATATCAAGCGAGGGAGAATAGCATTTAGAAAATCGCTCCCTTAACCTACATTCGAAAGCCACTCTCTTAGAATTAACAACTAAAATGGAAATTTCCTATATCTGGTTACTGGGAAAGTAATCTGCTTTGCAACAATCAATTAACGTTTGTTAAAATTTACTGTTTGGCGCTGATTCATTAATTTAGGTCAACAGATTCAAAAAACAAAAACAACAAATAATGGTCAATAAATAATAGTGTATTTTCATTTAAAGCCAAAAACAACATTGAAAATTAAACACTTTGATGCCATACAATCGCATTTTATCTATCCTACATTTCTTTTTATGTAATTATCTACATTTAATCTTTATAATACTCGGATATAAACGTGACAATTAAGCTATAGATTTAGATGAGATTAGAAATTACAGTAAGCGGCTTTACAAACACTCATTTAATAATAGCACGCAAGAATGAAGCAGAAATTACAACAGACTGTCTTGCTTTTCCATTCTCTTCAAAATTATAAGAGGTCTTTGAAATATTTTAACGTCCCACAACTAAAACACTTAAAGCAAAGGGCAAAAAGGAGTAAACAGCATCATCTTAGGTAGCTCATTTCATTACTTTACTTTCTTAGAGTTAATTGGAACAATTAGTGGAAATTTTATGATCTAAGGTCAATTTAACTTTCCATTTCATTTTGTAAGTATTCTTAATTAAATGTAAAAAATATTCTAGTGGAATAGTGAAAATTCGATGCATTAGATATAAAAATATGACAATACTTCTTGGAACAAAGTTGCACAGTTTATTGTAATCTGTCATCTATTTATATTGATCCATAGTCAATCCCAGTTGTTCACAATAAATTATTCAAATTTGGTCAAAGTCATATTTTTTAAAATAATAAGATAATTATGGTTTAGGGCGTTATTTTATAAGCCAACTTGTATTATGAAGTTTAAATAAATTTCAAATACACAATTCTTTATTTGTTATTATTTGACAAAACCGTGTTTAAAAATAAATTTAAAAAGTATTTCCTTTTCGGCAACAAAAATTCGATCTAAATCTAAGTATCAAAAGGATACTACAAAATGTAAAAGTAAATTATTGAGAATTAAATAGATAAATTTTTATAAAATTTCGTACAAATATACGTTTTAGAAATTAAACTAAGAAGTATAAATTGAGCCCACTCCCAACCGAAATGCTATGAAATTAAATCATCAATATTAAATCAACTTGGTTTTGGCG